AAAAGATATAAGACTTAAGGGGCTGGGGAGATAGCTCAGTAGAATAAGTGCTTGCCTGGCAAGCTCAAGGGCCTGAGTTTAATCCCCAGTTCCACCAAAAAAAAAAAAAAAAAAGATAAAAGACTTAGCTACCACTGAGCTACACCACCCCTGGCACTTTTTACTTTATGTTGAATCCAGGTCTTGCAGTGCTGTCCAGGGTGATCCTCCTATGTCACCCTCGAGTAGTGGGGATGACCCTCGTACCGCCAGGCCACACGTGATAGCCATCACCCTAACTGTTCTTTCTTAGGAAAAAAAAAAAAAAAAGCTTAAAGGGACTGGGGAGATAGCTCAGTGGCAAAAGCACCTGCCTGACAAGTGCAAGGTCCTGAGTTTGATCCCCAGTACCAAAAAACCACGCAGGGAAAGCTATGCACGCGTTAATGCCAGAGCTCAAGCCGGAGTTGTCCTCACTGTGGCTGCCTTCTGCCCTGTCAGGCTGCCGGTCCTGGAGACCACGTATCCAGCTGGAGATCCTCACCCCAACCCACTGGACTCCATCGTGAGCAACCGTTTGCCCCGCTGGTTCATCCTGGGCCACCTGGAGACGCGTCAGTGTGAACTGGCATCCACCCTGCTGACAGCCGCCAAGGGTGAGGACAGTGCTCCCCACCCTGGACCTGGACCTGGCTCCAGCCCCCACCATGGCCCCCTTCCTCTGCCTTCTGTTCCTGCTCTCTGCTCTCGCCCTCACTCATGCAGCTGTCATGGGGCCCTGGTATCTTTTAATGCACCTGGCGCTATCCCAGGTTCTGGGAATGTGGGTCCCTGACTCCCTGACCTGTGGGAGGACACGGCTTTCAGAAGAGAAGAACTATCTAGCTTTGGTGGGTGGGGTGCTGGCAGTGAACCCAGGACCCCACGTACACTAGGCAAACGAGTAGACATTTAAGCAAGAACCTGAAGGGGAAGCTGGCCTTGGCAGTGTACATCTGCGATCCCCACACTGGGAGGCTGAGGCAGGATGGAAAGTTCAAGCTCAGCCTGGGTAACTTCGCAAATGAGCAGGGGCCTGTCTCAGAGCAAAAAATGGGGGTGTAGCTCAGTGCAGAGGCCCTGGGTCTAATCCCCAGTACCAGAAATTTAGTTAATTGATACATAAATAAAAACACCTGTTGATGAGGGCGGAGCTTTGCAGCTATCAGAGGGCTTGGTCACCTCATGCTCCCAGTATAATAGGATAGGCACCATCAACAATAGAAATTTATTTGTTTTAAAATCTATCAGGTTTTTTGTTGTTGTTGTTTTGTTTTTTTGATCAGTTTTTGAGACAGGGTCTCACTGTGCAGTGTAGCCTGGCCTTAAGCTCACTGTGTCTCCAGGGCTGGCCTTGAACTGGCAGGGATCCTCCTGATGCTGGGATGCCCAGCGTATCCAAGATGAGGTTGCCCTCAGGGTTGGCTCCTGGTGAGGATGCCACCATCCCTCGGGATGGGGAATCTGGGAGGTGGAGGAAATTTGTGTCTCTTCTCTTAAGAGTGTTAGTCCACTCCCAAGGGACCCTTCCGTGGGACCTCATTTAGCCCTCCCTCTATGGGCCTAACACTGCTTCCCCATTGGAGACTTTCGGCACAGGATTGTGGGCCAGGGGCACACAGCTCAGCCCGTAGCATCAGCCCTGGGCCTGATCACATCTGGTGTGGCCGGAGCAGGGGATATGTAGGATTTGAACCAGTGTCAGCAGCAGCAACGGAAGCCGACCTTCAGCCTGGGGTGTGGTTCACAGGCACTACGTGGGGTTTTGAGAGACTGGGTGGGGGGTGGCATGGTTTGGTGTCTTGTTTTCTTGTGGCACAGGGGCCTTGATACCAAGCTCCATCCCCAGCCATTTTTACTTTTTTTTTTTTTTTTGCGGAACCAGGGATTGAACTCAGGCCCTTGTGCTTGCCAGGGAAGCGCTTATTCCACTGAGCCATCTTCCCGCCCCCCCCAAAAAAAAAATTGTTTTTACTTTTCATTCCAAAACTGAGTCTCAGCCACTGAATGCCTCGGCCTCCCTGAGTGCTGGGATATGTACATGTGCCTGCCTGGCACAGATCAGGGGTAACATGTGAAAGGCCTTGAGTTTGATCCCCAGCACCAAACAACGGGAAAGGCAAAGCCAGTGTTTGCATACTGCCTTGCTGTGCTCCAGGCCCTCCAGGTTTGTGCTCAGCACGTGTGAACAGTCCCAGCTGCACCAGTTTTGCCCAGCGTAAGGGTGTGGCAGCCAAGGCACAGAGAGGTGGAGTGAATTGCTCAAGCCACACAGCCACTAAGCAGCGAGATAGGGTTTGAACCCTCTCCTAGGTTCAGAACAGTTTCTCGTGACATCTAGGGAATCTGGGTGGCTACCTCCTGCTGGTACGGAGGTGGGGACAGATCAGACACGACAGGTCAGCTGTGGCTGCCGGGTATAAGCATGGCCTGGCCCCCCTATACTCAAGCGCACCCCTGGCAGAGGAGCCAGGGACCCAACCATGCCCTCTGCTGCAGGAGACCCCAAGTGGCTGCACGCGGTCCTGGCATCCATCCAGCAGAACATCCACTCCCCAGCCCTGCTCTTCAAGCTGGCACAAGATGCCTGCAAGACGGCCACCCCCGCCAGCGCACCCCCAGACACCACACTGCTGGGCATCGCACTGGAGCTGGGCCTGCAGGTGAGTGGGGCGGGGCTGGTCCTGTGCCCACCTCAGGGTTGGGGCCTGGCTGTAGCTCCGTCTGTGTGGGGTCTTGAGTGGGACCTTAGGTTATGTGATCAAGGTTCTAGTTCACCATGCTTCCACAAGGCCCCAAGTTAAATCCCTAGCAGGCAAAAAACAAAAGCTGGAACAAGCCAAGTAGTATGTCCTTAGGTCCGAGGAGATGGTCAGAATAAGCGCTTCCCTGGTAAGCACAAGGGCCTGAGTTCAGTCCCCGGTTCTGCCAAAACAAGTAGCGCATCCTTATCATCCTACCTACTCAGGAGGCTGAAGCGGAAGCATTACAAGCTCTAGGCCCGCCTACGCAACTGGGCTGGGGTTGTGGCTAACCTCTTACCTGTGGTCGTAGATTTCAAACCTAGCACAGGGAAAAGCATGGGAACAAGGCTGCGTGCTATTGGGTTCAGCGCTGTTGGTGGGTGGGATTTAAGGTGGGTGGGGCAGAGTCTGCCAATAAAATGCTCCCTTGGGGGTGTGGCCTGCAGGGAGGCGGGGTCATGAGGGATGCCGCGCTGAGGAGCAGAGCCTGTGGTTTCTTGGCAAAGAACCAGTGAGTTTGCTCTCCAACACAACAAAAAAAGAAAGCAATGAGTTGCCCACATCGTGCTGTTTGGTTCTAATAGTATTCCTATAACAGTACTTTGATTTTTATTTCTTTGAGGCTGGCATGCAACTCCACACCTCATGTATGCTAGGCAGGCACTCTACTACTGAGCTACACCCTGGCATGGGCACTTTTCCTTTCTGTAGTGCTAGGGGTAGATCTGAGAGAACCCAGCCCCTTTATTTAAATTACTGTTGGGGTTGTTTTGGATGTTGAGGCAAGATCTTACTAAGTTGCCCAGACTAGTTTGTAATCCTCAGCCACCCAGTAGCTGGGATCACAGGAGTGTGCCAGGCTGCCCCATCATACGTTACTGAGGGGGAGACAGAGACCGGAGAGGTGAGGCTGCGTGCCTGAGTTTGTCAGGTTAGCTCTTTCTTCCACCGAACACTCTGAGACCCCTGCTGTGGTCGTCTTGCCCTGCAGGTCATGCGTATGACCCTGAACACCATGACTTGGCGCCGGAGGGAGATGGTGCGCTGGCTTGTGAGCTGTGCCACAGAGATCGGTGAGAGACCCAGAGGGCACAGGGGCAGCCACCTGGCTCTCGTTCTAGGGGCACCAGTCCCTGGCTGCAGCCTCTTCTCAGGGCCATGCATGGAGGGCATGTGAGGCAGGGGAGGCGGAGTAAGGCTGGTCAGGCAGTCGCAACTTGGGGAAACAAAAGGGGCTGCACATACTAGCCTGTACTCAGTCCTGCTGCCTCTTCTTCGAAACTGTCAAAAAAGTTTCTTAGCTAGGTGTGGTGTCACATCTGGTAGGCTGAGGAAGGAGGATCCCAATTTCAGGCACAGCCTGGGTAACTTAGCAAGAAATTCTCTTAAAATGAAAAAAAAAATAAATAAAAGGGGGGGGGTGAGGAGATAGCTCAGTAGAATAAATGCTTGCCTGGCAAGTGCAAGGTGCTGAGTTCAATCCTCGGTACCGCAATTAATCAGTCAGTCAATAAAATGGGAGAAAGAGGAGGCTGGGAATGTAGCGCATTTTGAAGCTGTTCAATCCCCAGTACCCCCCAAAGAAGTTTCATAGACAGTACTTCCAGAGCCCTGGCTATTATGGGTTGTGGGGGGCACTATAGTGTCTAGATCCTACCTTCTCCCCTAAATCCTTGTCGCGCACTGTCCCCTACCAGGCCCCCAAGCACTGATAAACATCATGCAGAACTGGTATTCCCTGTTCACACCGGTGGAGGCGGCCACCATTGTGGCAGTGACAGGCACCACACATGCCACACTGCTTCGGTTGCAGCTGGACACGCTGCGGCGTGAGGAGCTCTGGACCTGCGCGCGCACGCTGGCCTTGCAGTGCGCCATGAAAGACCCTCAGAACTGTGCCCTGCCCGCCCTGACCCTGTGTGAGAAGAACCATGCAGCCTTTGAGGCTGCCTACCAGATCGTGCTGGACGCGGCAGCTGGCAGCCTGGGCCACGCACACCTCTTCACAGTGGCCCGCTACATGGAGCACCGTGGGCTGCCACTGCGTGCCTACAAGCTGGCCACGCTGGCCCTGGCGCAGCTCAGCATCGCCTTCAACCAGGACAGCCACCCAGCTGTCAACGACGTGCTGTGGGCCTGCTCCCTCAGCCACTCGCTGGGCCGTCATGAGCTCTCAGGCATCGTCCCTCTCATCATCCGCAGCATCCACTGTGCTCCGATGCTGTCTGACATCCTGCGCCGCTGGACCCTCTCGGCACCAGGCCTTGGCCCTCTGGGGGCCCGGCGGGCCACCAAGCCATTGGGCACTGACCGGGCGCCACTGTGCCAGCTCTTAGATGCCGCTGTCGCTGCCTACATCACCACCAGCCACTCACGCCTCACACACATCAGCCCACGCCACTATGGCGACTTCATTGAGTTTCTGGGCAAGGCCCGTGAGACCTTCCTGCTAGCACCAGATGGGCATCTGCAGTTCTCCCAGTTCTTGGAGAACATCAAACAGACCTACAAGGGCAAGAAGAAGCTGATGCTGTTGGTGCGGGAGCGTTTTGGCTGAGACAGTGGTGGCGGGGACACCAGGGTCCCCAGTCCTTACCTCCCCATCCCCTCAGCACTGCGCTGGGGGCCGCATCAGTATTAAGTCAGGGAAGTGGATGGGACGTGTGTGCCTGGGCATGTGCGAACGAGTGTACAAGACAGGAGCAAAAGCCATACCGCCTCTCCAACACCTAGAAGAGGCATGTGCTTGAGTGGATCACATGACCACCCCCACCCTGGCCTTGGGCACCCCAGAAGCAATAGACAAGTACCCTTGCCCCTACTGGGCTCCAGAAGAGGACCTGTCTGGAACCTGTCCCAGGGCGATGTAGCATAGGTTCCTGGCTCCCACCTGCATGGCCAGGGGCTTTATACAAGGGCAGCTGGCTTGCCTTCCTTACCCCACTGCCCAGGGGCCTTCACTGCATTGCTCTGAACCCCCTCCTGGGCTGCCCTACCCCCACAAAGGATCTCACAGGGTCTCAGGCCTTAGCCACATACCTCAGTTCCTTGTCCAGCAGGGACCCCTTGGGCACCAGGGTCCCTGGGGAGGCAGGGCCTGGGGTCCTCATCCCCCCACCCGCTAGGCACTGGACAGACAACTCAGGAACCATACAATGCCCCCTGCCACCGAGTGTGTCAGGATCTGAGCAGAAGAGACCCCCCATGTAGGGGAGAAGCTCCAGGTTCTCTGCCTCAGGCTGTCTCCATCTCTTCCTCTGTCCCTGCCTTTACTCCATCTTACTGTTTGATACTTCTCTCCGGTCAGCCTCCCTTTTAAGTCCCAGCCAGGGCTTTCTGGCTGCCTTGCTGTGCCCCCGCTCACCCCTCTGCCTCCTCTTGTAATAAGGAAGAAGATGGCATCATTTTGTAACTCTTTTTCTATTTATTGAACCCTATATTGTTTTTTTTTTTTTTTAACTGAAACAGCTGCTTTTTAACTTTATTTTGGGACTGAGGTGAGTCGCCTCCCATCCTGGGGCGGGAGCCTCCCCTGTTCCCTTAGCAAAAAAAAGATCTGCAGTCTTGTTTCTGGTCATAGGGAGTGGGGGTGGTGTGGCTACAGCACATGGGACCTCACAGTTGTTAGCTGCTGCTTCCTAGCCACCCTGCAAGTCGGATTATCATCCCTGGGTGTGTGTGTTTTGAGGCAGTCTGGCCATGTAGTATGGCCCAGCCTTGAACTAAGTAGCCTACGCTGGTTTTGAATTCCAGTCAGTCTTCCTCAACCTCTTCAGTGCAACCTGGCATAATGGGCCTATCCCCCGTCCCACGCCTGACCCTTATTCTCTTCACGAAGGACAAAAGTTTAAGGCAAAAGTATCCCAAGTAGCTGGCTGGTTCTTGATTTAGAGAGGTGGATCCCCCATAGTTGCAAGGCCTTTGGGACTGTGCTCCGGGAGTGGCCACTAGAGGGGGCTCAAGACACGGGTCATGCGCACCCGTCTGACGAGGCGGGCGCGGGCGGGCGGGCAGGTGCTGGGCGGGGCGCAGGGCTCGTCGCCGGCGGGCCGGGCTCTGGGACGCACGCGGGGTGGGCGTGACGGGGCGGTTACGCGGCCAAGGAATGGAGCGAGGCAGCCTTTGTCTTCCTTTCTGGACTTCTGCGCTGTGAGGGCACGCACGGTGGACTGGGAGTCGCTCAGGGTCAGGACAGGCGAGGACGGCTACGCTGATGAGCGACCCGGCTGGCCGACGGAAGGCGCCGTAGTAGCCCGCAAGTCGAGGGCGGGACTCTGGTTGCGCTGGGTATGGCGATTGGCTCCGGGCGCCACGCTGGGCTCGAGGGGCCCAATCGGCAGCGGCCCTGCCTCCCCCCTCCCCCTTTCGCGCAGGTACTTGGGGGACCGAACCCGCCTGTCGCTCCCTGAGCCAGGGCTGGACTGGTGCCGTGACCCGCTCGTACGTCCTTGCCATCTGTCCGCCCGCGTACGGCTCGTGGGTCCGGCGCGCCCTCACTGCGCCTGTCTCAACCGACCGGGGTCACTTAGTCCCCTGCCACCCGAAAGCGTGCCTTTGGGCCCGGAGTCTCACCCGCTTCACACATACACCTCCAGCCAAAGTTCCTTTCTAACCAGGGTAGTGGTGCCGCCTGTCATTCCAGGATTCCGGAGCCTGAGGCAGGGTCACCAGTCTCATAAGTTACCTTCTAACATTCTCAGCAGACACCCCGGCTCTCTTCCCCACAAGTTCAAGTGCCACTTGTCTCCAAATGTCACCCTCAGGCCCGACCCCCTACACCAGGCTCCGTTTTGGGCCTCATTCATGGTAACCCTCACTTTTGTCCCATCCAGAATTAGCGCCACCCCGGGACATCCCTCAAGGTCGCATCGACAAGCTCTGGGGTCCCGCTCATCCACAGGAAGATGTGTCTGGCTTTTCCTGCCTTCTTCAGCCCAGAGGTGGACAGAGGTGAGGTCCAAAGCCCAGGGCGCCAGAATGCAAAGGCCGAACATGTAGCCAGGCTGGGAAGCCTGGTGGCGAGTACTGGCCCAGAGTGCACAAAGCCCAGAGTTCCACCCCCAGCATGGCAAAGGAAAAACAAAACAAAAAAAAAAAAAGCTGAAACTGTAAGGATGGGGACAGAAGTGAATCAAGACCATCAGAGCCCCAGGGGTGAGGTGGAGAAATTTATTTCACTGCTGCACCAGCACATAATATAAACACTGCCCTCCTCTACCTTAAGCTCCCCATCTGCCCCTCCCTGGGTGACATTGGGCCAGCACTGATGGCCTGGGCACTTCAACTGACCGTCTCATTCCCAAAGAGCTCTCCTCCCATCTGACTCAGGGACAGTGGCACAGACCTCTTCCAAACCCGGTACTACAGTGGGCAGGATGGGCTGACTCCAGCCCCAGGATGGGGGAGACCTGCTTGTCTCTTCTGGGCTCCTATGGGTTTGTTCCCTGTCCCATGTGCCATTAAGAAGCCAAGAGGGCCAGGCGTATTTGGCCACGTCAGATCAGCTGGTTCCGGAAACTAGGAGTTGGCACTTAACGGTCAGGGGGCCTAAGGCAGTTTCCTCTTGCATAACTGGCGGCTGGGAAGGTACAGCACCCCTGCCAGGCTTAGGAGTGGAGGGGCTGAGTATGGTGGCACACGCCTGGCATCCCAGCACTCAGGAAGCTGAGGCAGGACTGCTGGGCTACACAGTTGGTTCAAGGCCAGCCTGGACTACATAGGGAGAACCTGTCTCAAAACAAAAAGGGAGGGGTTGATGTGCCAGGCCCAGAGAACAGCTGACTTTCCCTCTTCAAGAAGGTCCGCCTGCTCACCCACCTGCTTGTCTGTCTGCCCTGGGAACACCGCCCAGCCTGTGCAAGTCGTGTCTGTATCAGGACAACGGGGCCTTCCTTATGTGCAGGCCAGGGGAGGTGGCCTGCGGCAGGTACCTAGATCTAGGCAGGGCACCCACTGGGCCCTCCCATATTCCCCTACTTTAGACATACATGGCTAGATCCATCTGATCTTCATGTCGGGATAGCCAGGCTGCAGGCTCCAGGGGGCTTGACCCCTGTTCCTGCTGAACTGAGCCAGTCTGCACAAATCAACTGTGTTTCAGCTCAGTAGGCACAGGAGGCAGAGCCCAGGGAGCCCTGCAGCAGCAGAAGTGGGTGTGGTGGAGGCAGGGCCTGGGGGACGGAACTTAGCCACTGTGAACACGACTTGGTGCAGACCCTGCTCACAAGCGGCTAAGCCCTGCTCCTCAGGCCTGGCGGCAGTGGCGGTGGCAGTGGCATGGTGGTGGAGGTAGCGATGGGCCCTCTCTTGCCACCTCATCCCCAGGTGTAGTTAGACATCCTCAGTGGCGGTGGCCTGGAGGCAGAGCTCAGGGTCGGTTGGAAATCCCTGGCAATGTGATTTGTGACAGACAGCAAATCCCATCCCCAGGAACCCCAGCTGGCCGTGGCACAGGGGTGGGGGGCCCTGGGTGGAGCCAGAGGCTGGCACCTGGAGGGGAGAAAGAACAAAAGAGGTGATGTGATTTTGGAGGTACCACCCTCTTGGGGCCCCCACCTGGCCTCAACCTAGATCCCAGAGTGAGATGTAGACAGATGCCCATCATACCCTTCCAGGCCAGGCAGTTACAGGAGCTCCAGGGCCAGCTCCAGCCCACGCGCCACTCCCCCATCTCCCACCCCAAGCCCAGGCAGCCAAATGGGGCCACATGAGGAGAGAGGAAGCTGAGGGGGGCGGGCAGGCGGGTGAGGAAGTGATCTCACCCCAGCTGGCGCCACTTCCTAGAAGACTGAAGGGCAGGAGGAAGCCACTGGGCCTCCCCACTGTGGCCCTGTCTCCTCAGCAGCCAGGTCCCAGCCTGCAATCCCCCAGGGTGGGTACAGGGATCATCACCCCGATTGCCCGGGGCATCCAGCACAGCACCCAGGCTTGGCAGATTCTGGCCCTCTCACCCAAACACCCCACCCGAGTTCAAAACCAAAATGCAGCTTCCCATGTCCCTGGAGGCCTCTGTTTCCCCATCTGTAAGACAGGAGTGAGAGCTGCTACTAAGCAGTCCAAGGAGCTTTTACCAAGAAGAGGGCTGAGGGCCAGGGAGATGGCTCAGTGGAAAGCGCAAAGGTCTGAGTTCCACCAAAAAAAAAAACCAAAAAAAACTGTCATTCTGGCACCAGCACTGGGGGTGGGTCACTGAATTTGTGAGGTCGGGTGACAAACAAAAACATGCAAATGAAAAGACTTTTTTTTTTTTTCTTTTTTGAGACAGGGTCTTGAGCTCACTATGATTCCCAAGGTGGCCTCAAATTCTGCTGCAATCCTTTTACTTCAGTCTCCTGAGTGCTGGGATTTAGGTGTGCATCACCACTCCCGGCTGTAAATTAAGAATTTCCTGGGGCTGGGGTACAGTCTAGTGCTGAAGCATGTGCTTAGCATGTTTGAGGTCCTGGATTCCATCCTCAGCACCACCACCACCAAAAAATAAAGCAGTAAGAAGATTTCACAATATTTGTCACGAAATATTAAATCAGGATCAGGTCTTTCCAAAGAGGAGTCAGCCAAGGCCACCCTCCCCTCGACCCATGGCTAGAGCAGCCCCAGTTTTAGAGTCAGTCAGCCGAATCTGAAACCCATCCCGAGATTCCCGGCCGGGTGGCTCTGGGCACATCACTCAAGCCCTCTATCCCCTGCAAAACAGTGATACCAGTTATCTACTCTGTAAGTGGCTGGCGGTGAAGATCCCGTGAGTAATGTGTGTCATCGGGACAGTGTGACACTGTCATTGCTCTCTCACAGCACAAAGAGGCCAGAAAACAAAAACAAGGATCTCACGCAGGCAGGACCCTAAGGTCCAGATCTTGGGTCACTGACCACTGGGAAGTGGGCAGTGAGAGATGTGTTGTACCCCCTCAACACACACACTCAGGCTGCAGTCCTTCCCACACCCACAGGACCCCATCCCTGTCCCCTCAGGGTCTGGGGGTGTCAACTGGGAGCAGTCCCAGCCCCACCAGAGCAGCCAGCCACCCTGAGCCACCTCCGGAAGTGAGACAGCATATTCATGTCCCAGGGAGGAGAACGGGAAGGGCGGCCATTTGGCCAGGCCCGTTTCCTGTGGGGTTTCCCCTGCACAGAGCCCAGGGCCAAGGCCACTCCCCATCCCCACCGGCACAAAAGGTCTGGTCCCGCGTGGAGAGGCATCAGGTGGCCCAGGACTGGACCTCTTTATCAATCCCCGACTCTCCCTCAGATGCCCCAAGAGCCAAACTCAGGGCAGCTGCAGGGATGGAGGAGAGGGGCCCCTATGCTGGGGCCCTGGAGTGGTCCCCAGCCTGGATGGGTCACCCGTGTGCACAGGAACGCAGACAGCAGCTACGCACCAGACACACACAGGCCCCAGGGCCCCAGGAATGCATCAGGGACGGCTTCCGCTGGGACTCCACCGCCGCAGCCC